CGGACGGACGCACGGACGCACGGACGCACGGACGAACGCACGGACGGACGGGATAGCATGAATACAGACAGATGGCAGACGGGCAGATTAACAGACAGTCAGACAGTCAGACAGTCAGACAGTCAGACAGTCAGACAGTCAGACAGACAGGCTGTGCAGACCTAATACCATATATGAGTAGAAGGTGTTGCGTTTGCTCTAGAAACATCTGCGCAAATGGTTAGACCTTCGCTGTTGATCTGGTGACSACATAAAATGACAGCCCCGCACCAGCCATTTATAAATATAAATCTTTCAATAAAATGAAGTTTCTTATTTTTATTTTCAGCGGATTTCCTTGGTATCATGAAACACAAAGAGATCAGCAACGCAGCCGGTAAACCAGTTGGTGCTCGACTGACTATAACCAGAACTGCATCATACAATGCTGAGGTCCAGTATGTTTGTACTGCCAGCAACCCAAATGGACAAACCAAAAACGAAGTCACCGTAAAGTCTGATCACTGAACCGGTAAATCTTGAAATAATCACTACGAGATAACGTTAAACCTCTAAGACAAAAAACGCGACATTAGCAGTCCAATCGAAAAACAGGGGGGAGGAATATGAAAAACGGACAAAAATGACAGACAGCCAGAAGAGACARACACTGACTAGAAAAGACAGACAGATAAGAAAGCAGACAAAATTAAGCAGGCCACCTTGCCCACCACACCAAGCCATTATTTCACGAAAAACAYCCTTATTTCGCGATTTTCTTTATTTCAAAAAAATTAATTAACTTACCCGCCGAGAGTTGCGAAATTTAATTGTCGCAAAATATACGACCTTCAAAAGCGTTAGAAAAAAGCCTCGTCTAATAAGGTACCACAAAATACCTAGTCTCTGGATTGTTGCTGTAATCCTCTTTCGCCTCACAAAAAGAGCTGGATGTTGAGTTGTTTTATGAAATTACTCGACACTATTTGATTTTAAATTTAATATATATATTTTTATCTTGCAGTTGGCCATGATCATCTTTAGACAGCGAAGCTGACGTCATAGGTTAATGCTTTGCTGTACATGTCATTTTGTCGTAAAATTAAACCAAGACTATATACGAAAATAAAGCTCAGAGAAATGACTTGATGTCATTTAAATACACAACAAACCAAAGCTAAAACCCTATCGAGCCCATCCGATCTTACGCAGCCTAGCCTTACTTTCTACTCTCCTGTACTATACACTAATGAATTGTCCTCCTAGACGGCATTACCTATTTGTACCAGTTGAAAGGACAAGCGGCTACTCTCACAAATGAATTGTCCTTCTAGTTGGTATGAAAAGTTCAATGCCGTGCCGCAACCGTGATGTTYCCTAGAATTTTGATTGGCTTTCTTTTCTCTTTATCAATGTGATTGGTCTAGCAGTRCCGTGCCCTTGTCGTGACCGTGTCCGAGTCGTGTTCGTGACGTGTTTCGTGCATTTGATTTGATGAAGAGTTCGTGTCTTGCCGCGACCGTGATGTKTTTTAGATTTTTGATTTGCTGGGTCTTTGCCGTGGCCGTGTTCGTGCCGTGAGCTKTTCASAGTCATACGAAAACTGCACTACCTAGCGTCGATGATTGTACACGCTAATTAAGGTTTTCTATTACTTAAGCAGTTATCGCTCTCGCTCTACCTTTCCAAATAAATGTCCCACATAGCAAATCAAGTCCTATCAAACGGTTGAAAAATAATATCTCATAACCTTCCCAGAGTCCCAGCTGCTTAAATACTAATAACTACAAAGTATGACATGCAAACGCAGCTATATCGATCATTGTACAAATAACTGCGGTGTGAATGACTCGTGCTTTTAAATCTTATCTTATTTTTCTTTGGTTGGTTTGCAATAATATCGCATATCAAGAAGAAAAATACCCAGGCATTGCTTTCTTGTTGGATAATGTAGCAAAAGAAAACAAAGAAAATGATTTTATTAAATTCACACCCAATATGGCGGTAACGGTAAACCAGTTACAACTGAAAAATTCAGATGGGTGGTTTTATAASCCCCGATCTCAACGTAACCCAATGTTTTTGCCTTGATTTCTGCGTTTGCACCCCGAAACGCCCTGTATTTTGCACTGTTTTTTTCTCATGGAATTAGTTTTTGTTTTCTTTCATTACTTCTAATTAACAAATAAAGAAACACGCAAYGTTTTCGTGACATTCATTTAGTCAATACAGCAGATTATGGTTTACTATTTGATGAGTAATATCGATAACGCCTGTTTTGATATGTTTATCGAACGTTTTTTGTTTTACCCTGTGCAAATTAAAGGCAAAATGAAGTTTGCGCAGGATCCATTTCAATACGTCGGAAGTTTAGACAACTGAATGCTATAAAGCGTTCGCATCGCTTTATGATACGAGTTTGAGTATTAAGTCGCATTTGGAGTCTTTCTGCAACGACAATCGCAATGGTTTGGTCGAATACGTTCCTCTCGATTGGTTTCGTTTTTTTGGGATGTTTCTCGTTCCTCAAGTGTCAATCCGTCCGTAAGTATTCTATTATGATACTTAAACATATCTAGGAGGTTTTTTGTAATTTCTTTCCGAAGCCCACTTCCAATGGTGGAGATCCAGAACCCAGGTGAGATTACAACCATTTTTACTATCGGTCATGCGCAGTGAGTTTTGTACTTTCCTGCCATGCGCAGTGAGTCCTTTTCAATTATAATCCTTTTTTGTCCCTCCTTTTCACAGAACCCTTAATTGTTATTTATATTATCTTCTATCCATTGACATGATTTATTCCTCTTAGCTCGAGACATTAAATTTAGAAAATACGCAAATAGGAAGCGGCCATGTCTATAGACTCCACATTTTGATTTTCCAGAAAATGTTTGCAAGCCATTTGCGCCACCAAAGAATGGTGCAGCAAGATGCATCAATTWTGGCAAAGTCTTAGGTTGTACAGTAGCATGTAGAGACACTTATGATTTCGTCTACAAACCCGCTAATTCATACAGTTGTATTAATGGAAAGTGGGATACTTGGTCACCAGCAAACGACCATGACCCAAGGGAACAATGGCCTGACTGCTCAAGTAAGTATGGCACTGGAAATTCTAATTTTGAATTTGAATCAGTTCATGAATTGAATTTGGGAGGTTTTTCAAGAAACGTAGCTTTTTACAATAGACCCTGTTTACCTTCGCCGTAATGTTTTCCTATTTCAGACCACGTGATGCCATTTCCTAAAGAGTCATTTCTTTGTCTAACAGTTGCGCATGATAAGACATGAATATGGATCCGACGAAAACGAAGATAATTTTACTCTCCAGTCCATTAACTATGCTCTCCAGGGAATGACACGTTGTCTGAAATGGGAAAACATTACGCTTTTAAAAACTTTCTCGTTTGGTAGAATCTGCCTTAAGTTCATTTACAGCTTATAGCACGGTATGTTGAAAATCAGTCTGCGGTAGTCCGCCTTATAGAATCTTGCGCCAGATTTTGATGCCGAGAGTAAAACCAGCTGTCGTTCTAAAATGAATGAGGGAGATTATATTATAGTATACAGTACAATCTTTTTTGTTTTTCTTTTCTTTCTCTTTTTTWATAGAAAGAACAAACCCGTCACAAGCAGCCATAAAAGCATTACCACAGTTCTATTTCAAGGGGGATTGTAATGATYSCAATGTACAGGMRCAACTAAAGMAAGRCTTTGTGACTATYTTGTCCCCTCCAAATGCTCCTCCGTTCTTCTGCCWCTTCAATCCACARTGCAATGCTCAAAATACTATAGTTTACTGTGGAGCTGCGTGTGGAAAATAAMACGTAAGGCATGATCAAAGATCGGTGCAGAGTTGTTCTGAAATGCTATTTAGAAATTCATCGGCCAGGAATTTTAGATTGAAATTAATACATAATTGTATGAAATAGCTAGAAAAATGACGTGTTTAATAATTTATCATATGAATAAATATGAAAAAAGGAATTTCATTGCTCGTATAGGTTATCAATATCCCTGGAAAAATCGAATGAGTTGAGATCATGGAAATATGTTGGGACTTCCAATCTTTCGGACCCCGGGGGGTGGGGACTCCCCAGAATTTGGGTAGGGGTAGTGTTCTGCTCGGATTCTGAAAGGGGTACCCTGTTTATGACACACAAAAAAATTTATTGCACTGAGTTCCTGTTTCAATTATCATGTCATCTCGCGTATGGTTTTTTTACGACCATGATAACCAGTTTCGGTCAATACGAAAGTAGAAACCCTGAATATGACAGGAAACTCAGGAAGAACTTGGAAGTTGAGTGAAATTGCATACCCTGTTTATGACAAGAAGCTCGAAAAACCATACCCTGTTCAGCGGATCATCCCCATATGGTCCATCATGGGAGTACCCCCCCTCCCCCCGGGTTTCGGACGTCTTCATGGTATGCAAATATGTTGGAATTCGTCACATCAGTGCGCATGTTCTATTAGATGGTCAGCACAGTTGGTCACCTAGGCTTTCATAGACCTTTTCTGAGATCAACGAATGAGGTGCATTCTGGTCTAGATAGGGTCGAACTATAAACTTGCCAAGGATGTCCTTTTTTGTTTGATTCACTTTGTTATGTGAGTAACAAAGTGAAGCAAACAAATGGTCTTGTGAATTTTCCCACACATTGGACAAATCCCAGGGTCCCAGGCCAGTCCGGTACCTACCAGGGGATTTGCCGGAAAAATATCCTACTACGGGGAGAATGTCTTAATTGAACTGTTCCATCGATGCTGATAATCATTTCAAACGGGTAGATTTTACAATTAATACTTTCCGTAGAAGATCGATAACCTGAATTACGAGCCGCTCAAAAAGCAGTACAACTTTAAAAAATCAATTTGTCACGTGTGTCGCAGTTAAGTTGGCACAGCTACAAGAACCGGCTGTAGATTTGATGTGCTATGACCCTAGTGCCTTCTGCTCTGAGATTTATCAAAAGTTTTCATTGCGCGGAAATGGTACTTAAGTAATGGTTTTTTTTTTTGGTGCAACAAAACTTTGGATGGATGTCAAATAATGATGTTTTGTCACTGTTTGCTGTGCATGTTCATGGTCAATAGCAAGGGTTTTTGTGGTAGTATTTAACATGACTTTCTAAATCCATCATTCCCCTTTCGTATTTACCCTGGTTTTTAGGGCTAGGCTCTCTTTCTCTCTTCCGTGCTTCTTGGCTCGACAATTGCMTTTGACCTCATGGTCCTTTGTTAAGCTGAGGAGGCGCAGGATCACAAGTAAACCAACACGTAAGCCGGATAACACTTCCCAGGGCTCCAGAGGTTCTATTTATCACATCAGGGTAAGATAACACAGATGCTAACGTTTAGATATAACATTAATTTTTTTAAAATGGTATTTTGTCATAAAATTAAGATAACATTGACATTGTACAAACTCACTAAAACAAAAGCTATAAAAATAGAGAAAAATAATAACGAAAACAAAATGTTTGAGGGACCGGATCAGTGCTCTTTCGTATCCATCMACGCATTACATTGACTGCGTTTCCGGATGTCGTTTCCTTTAACTATCAGCACCGTATTTTATTACCGACCGTTTCCGGGTGCGAGATAATGGTTCAGAGAAGAAAAACCGAGATAATTTAAGTCTCCTTTTATTTTACTCGATATTGCTGGCTTACTACAGTTGAGACGTTTTAAAAAGATATCCCTGAGACAAGAGTTAGGGTTTCGAAAACTGGTTCTCAGTAGGGATCTGATCTTAGCACCCCTCCCCCCTATCCCCTCCCAAAGAAACTTGGAGTTGTCGATACTGGATTAGTTTTCTGTTCCGCAGCATTCAGAAACGAGAAAATTGTAGCAAACGCTTGGAAAGAAAACAAACAAATGTTACAATTATGGCTGCAATAATTTAAAATTTCGTTTCCAATATCAGTTTTCCCGCTGTACTTCCAATAAAGGCGTTCCACGAATATTGGCACGGAGCTATGATCGATTAGTATAGTTTTACCGAGTAAATCAGTAGTATCCGGAAATCTATGGTCGCTCAACTTTCGTTTCAGGAAACATTTATCTAATTTCTAAGGTCACTTGGGATAATAAAGCTAATCATCAGTTGTATTATGTTATGCCGGACAGCACGGGCCCCTTTACAAGAGAGAAGGTCACTCTAGTGTTATGGTTTCATGTATCAAGTGCCGGGACAGGAGAGTCAATATCGAAAGCTGGGCCGCTTTACAAGAAAAAAATATAAATAGTAAAAGTTTATGGCCCCAGTGGCCATGGAAAGCTGTACATGAATTAGAGCTGGTTAGCAAGGACAACTAAATCATAAATGAAAAGGTCGCGTTTCAGCAGGTGTTACTGGTTTGTGATGGGACAGAAGGGTTACCATAACGATAACCTTTAGGGTTACTTTAAATAAGAGAAGGCCCAGTGTGAGACTAGCCTTAGCTATACTGATGTATTTTGTAAATACTTTTAAACCTTCTCTAAATAATGAGAATGATTTAGGACTTTATATAGCGCCCTTTGTATATGGGTATAATCAAAGGCGCTTTACTTTGAGTTTACAAGCATGAGAGATGGTTAGTATGAAGTGCAGGCACTGATGGTGGTCACTGCCAGGGTTTCTTTACGTCTCTGACGGGGTCAGTGACCCTCCCTCCTTTTAAAAAGGCAATCAGGCAGCCAGCCCTGTGGTCCGCCTGTGGTCAATGTATCAGTAGAAAAACACTAACGTCACAAGAAGTCCAAATACTTTATAAGGCAATGAATGGGACTAGGAATACAAATATACCGGTTTAAAATAATATTTATTTATATCCATACTCATTTTTCACTGCCAAAGTTACATATTGCTGAATATGTGTGACAGTTACATCCTGTCAATGACGTCAGTGTATAAACGTCCGGTGCATTACAAGGCAGAGAACGGAAGTGCGTCACGCAACACCTAGGGATCAGATATATAAAAGTGACGATCCCGAAGACCGCAGAGTTTGCTTTACTGAAACCACAGAGAGAATAATGAGCCGCTGTCTTACTTTGGCTTTACTTTTTGCCTGGATGTTTGTAGCTGGTTGTTGGCMAACAAAAAATCCGAAAAATGGTAGGTTGGGATGTGCTTGTTCTATTCTTAAGTTTAATACCAAAAAAACCGCAAATATATTCAAGTTTTAAATTTTCTAGTTTGATCTTTTGGGGACCTAGTCATGTWAGGTTTTCATAATGAATTTCCACACTGGAGACCAATCACGGGCGATTTTTACAGCGATTTAAGTTATGATTTTTGCAGCGATTTGAATAACTATAAGAGAGAAAAGTCCGGCTGCACGCAGGCTACGATTTAAACGGTTGCGAAAACTTTTTGCGGCGTTTTTATTCATTGATTCAAAGCGCATTGTGAGGTATGAACTGTAATCCCTTATTTATATAGCTATTTAAAAATATTATTATGTCAAGAATGGTAAAGCATTTAACTTGTAAAGTTTTATTCAGGACACCAAGATTACCTGGACAAATGTCTCTTTAGACTGAAGCAAATTGTATTCTAAATAAATTCTGTAAAAATCGCCCGTTTGAACATCATCTTTCATCTCGCGCTAAATCCAAATGAAGTTTATATTTTTATTTCTTGAAATAACTTCTGTTTATTGAATTGAATTTAGATTTTATTTTATTTCAGAGACAAGAAACGATGACTTGAATACAATAGCACCAAAGATGACCGAAGAAGAAGTGCCTCCCACATCAGCCATCTTTACAGTACAAAGGTCAACAGTACCAAGCAGAAAAAGCACTACAACAGCAAGGGCTGGTCCAACACAAACAGATCAAGAACCCACAAGAGGTAATCAAGTTTATCGTGATTGATATTGAAATAATATCTGATATTAGATAGGTTTCCGGAAACGAAACTAAGTAACAGGATGGTGTCTTGCATGATTCTGGCATAACGCCACAAGACTGGAAGAAAACAGGATCCCATCGGGTTGTACGAAGGGTGGATAGCTCTTTCCAACGGAAATTTTTTAAACATTTATCAGTCGGATAGTGCCATTCACCGTTCGTACAACCGGGCCCAGGGCAGAAAAGCCTTGCAGAAAACTTACTAAATAAAATAAAATAAATCACACCTAGCCCCCCTTCCCCGACGCGAGAAGAAAAAATATTGTACTAAAAGRAATACAAGACCGGCTATGTTGACAAATTTCTATGTCTCTCTTAGAATCGCCATTGTCTTTCTTCACATCTGATGTTAAGAAGCTAAACATCGTGGTTATGGTCCTGGCTTCAATTGTGATGCTTTTGGCGATTATCTTACTCATCTTGTGCGTCCTCCGCCGGAACATGCAAAGAAAGATGCAGAGAATGAAAGAGGAAAAAGGTAAATTTTACTAAATGCTTTGCCAAGCGATTATATTCTTCCTTCCTTCCTTTACGTATGACATAGTAAGAGGTATTGATGTCCGCGCTCWACCGGGGTCAACCAAGGCTAGGATACATCAATCAGGACACAGTCACATAAATGTTGGCTGCATCTTTCTTTCTTTCTCTCTCTCTCTCTCTTTCTTTCTTTCTTTATTCTTTCTTTCTTTTTTTATTCTTTCTTTCTTCCTTCCTTCCTTTCTTTCTTCCATCCATCCATCCACCCATCCCTTTTTTCCATTCTTTCTTTCTGTCATTTACTTTTTCTGAAGTTGTTCTTTCTTCTTTGACCTTCTATCATTTTCTCGATGTTTAGAAGAGGAGACAACAACAACAACTACAGAGGGAGCCACACCACAGTGCAAAGAAACCCCCTCAACTGAATCTCGTTTCTACAATTATGCCACGCCCCAACAGCCTGCTGTCGAATATGAAGTACCATATGCCCATCAACAGGCAATGGCTGTTCAAATAATGGCTCCAGCCTATCCAAACCCTGCAAACAATAACGTGACCAATCAGATAGCACCCAATGGGCTTCCTGTTACACCAATGATGGACGATGACGACTACGTTAATTCACGAGTGTTTGAAGCAATCGTAGAAGACATTAATAGTGCAGACCAAACCATTAACAACCAAGAATATAAGATTCCGARAAATGCTACCAAGAGAGCTGGGTTGATGAGCAATGAGGCTTTGACKAACACCAGTACTTTGAAAGATAGTAGGGGTTACGTTGTGATGTTGAATTACGCTAGGCCCGTGGAACATCAACCAAAGAATAGCCACAACGTTCGTGTAGAGGGACATAAACAACATGTTTACGACGAGCCAGTCAAGACAGAACGATCTACAAACACATTTTCGCGCAATACCATAAAAACAAAAATTAAAATCTTCCAAGAGAAGCTGAAAAGCGACAAGTCAAAGCATGCTGTCCCTGCAGAGAATGCAGAGAAGGGCACTCAGACTCAGAAAGACTTTATAAGGGAATCGATGGTAAAGAATACCGCTTATGATACTCCTAGAAAAGTGTAATCTGTAATATTGAGTTGGTGTGGCCTATCTTTGGCCAGAACTCTATGCACCGTCCCGGGGTCTTCGTGTTTCTCTCCATCTCAAGTAGTTTATGGACAAGTCATTGGTTCTACTCAGTATGGGACATAATACAGAATAGAATAACACAGATTCGTTTCGGGGGGAGGGGCTGGAGGTGTACGTGCGCACCCTCTGTACCCCTCCCTTAGATACGCGCCTTCCATCAAAAATAAATTAAAAAACAAGAAAAAATTGTTTTTTTATCCGCTAGGCGATCACTGTACAAAATATATAACGCCATAGTRAGTGATAATTAAATATACACATATCTGGATATATATTTTGCTATCCTAGCTTGTAACTCTGTAAATATATATATATACATAGTCTTTGATATGAACACTTGCACCTTCATTTGTCCTAAGAGTGGATATCTTTCTGGTATAACTGAACAAGTTCGATATTATACATTTCAAGTTTATAGATATTAAAAAATCGTTACTATTATTTCATGTGTTTCACTGCTTTATTTGCCCCCTGGGCGCCCCATAATGCATTGCGATCCAAGATGGCCTCCGTATCGTCAAAGTGTTCCATGTAATATAGCCTGTGAGCAGGTTCCGTTTTGGAGTGGAAYTTAATGTCCAAAATGATCCCGTTCGTAGGCAACTGAATTTACTGGTCAATATATATGAGGGGGGAGGGAAGGGGCTAAGGGGGTGGCGGTAGAGGAACGGTAACTATACTAAAAGTATCCTAAGTCCTCTCCCCTTGAATATTYTTATCCTCCACCTTGATACCAATCTTAGTCACTCTTGAAAGAACCGTCGATCACCTGGTTTTTTTTATTTGTCTATCATGGCTAAAAGCAGTGTCTCTTGAGCATTCACGTGCATCTCCTTGTCCATGCCTCAACGCTTCACCATTCGCATCTATTTTTTGTTTACCGTTTTTACGCAATGTGAATGTYAAAAACTTTAATCTTATGCAAATTTTAGTCTTTTTGTAAATAAAACAATAGCTTACCGCCTGGGAATTCACTTGTCTYAGGAAGAATAGAAAGTATGCATAATTGTACGATCTATGAGCTAGCTAACTAAACTGACTTTGACACTATCTTCACGATCAAACCGAACGAGAGAGAAACAGCTGTTATCACTGGAAAAAGACGATGGCAACACAACTGAGCGAGCGACAAGTAGAGGAGATAACCGATGGGTTTAGTCTTTATGATACTGTAGGGGATGGAAAAGTCGACTCCCATCTACTTGGAGAGGTTTTGAGGGCGCTGGGTCAAAATCCAACCAACATCGAAGTTGCTAAAGTCATCAAGCAGCTTGATCCTCAAGGCAATCGTCGTGTYTCTATTGACGAGTTTCTCCCGGTGTTTCAATCCTTGAAGGCTAAAACAAGACCATTTGGTTCTGAAGATTTTATTGATAGCCTGAAGGTGTTTGATAATGATGGTTCTGGAATGATAAGTGCGGGAGAATTGAGGCATGTCCTGACTAGTATTGGCGAAAAGTTGAGTGACGAAGAAGTTGATGCTTTATTTCAAGCTATAGAGTACAACCAGGGACAAGTCAATTATGAAGATTTCATTAAACTTGTGCTGAATTCGTAGTTTGAAGACTCAAGAGCCCTCGAAAATGTGCGAGACTTGGCCGATGGTTTACTCAGAGAGACACCTCACTGTTAAACACAGCTGGGTGATCACAACTGTTTTTATGTTAATCATCAATTAGTTTTAAATTAGTTTTATACTTAAAAGAAAAACTAAAAATCGTCACAAACGTATTTGTCAGTCAGTCTAGTGTTTGTCAGTTTTGCACTGATRCGACAGTAATTATTCACACCAACATAACATAAAGCAATCAAACACTAATCTAACATAAATTTGAAGCTATTGAATATTAACGCAGAAGATAGCTAGGTTAATCTGTACGTATTCGGTAGTGCTCTGTTTTCGACCTGTTTTATTAAAAAGTATTACTAGTAATAGAGTAGGCCCTTGGTTATCGAATTCTGTGRTGGATCACGTGATATTTGTAGACAAATGTTTAGTATTCTGTATCTACAAGTTCTAGCTTAGTTAACGTTCCCAATAAATATGACTGTTTGTACACTGTTAGTAGTTGCTCTCTCTATCTGTAGAACATAATCTTATCTAARTTTCTCATCAGTTAAAACTCGAAGCTTTCACCGTGCAGGGCCCAGGAGGGAAGCTTTACCTACAGAGATATCTAAAAAATTCCGCCTTCGATATATGCAATATTTGTTTCAAAGATTAAACTCCTTTAAAAAAACATTAAAAAATCCTGTTTGAATAAAGAAAAGAAAAAAAAAAGAAAGAAAGAAATTGTTTTAATCCCCTCCCCTCTACCACACGTTTGATTCTATGGTATCCCCGTAGCGAGGCAGGGCTAGGCTACCAAGTTCATCACGAGAAAGAACATTATTGAAAGCGACTGAAAAAGATTCCAGTTCGATGAAAAAGTTGTTAAAAATAAATATGAAAATGCATTAATAAGGATTGTAAACGCGATCTGGGTAAGTTGATTATTATGTGAAGGAATAATTTCTACAAAACAGTGTTTTGAATAGCTGCGATCGCTTTTGAAGTCGCCTTGAAATGTTTCAGGAAATATGCAAAGCATTCATGTGATGTTTTTGACAGATCARTGAATGTTTTCTTCTTAAATTTATTAGTAGATCATTAGAATGTGATGATCAAAAACTACCCTCTGTCTGGTAGATAGCGTTATCTCATGTTCTGTGGTGTGTAGGTAAATTAATTTAAAATTAATGCCTATGTTGACAGCATTTTTTCGAACATAAACTGAATAAAACAACAGCTTGTACATTATAAGTAAATTAAGTCTGTAGCAATTGTCGTAGTTCGTAAAATAATATACCATGTACTTATTTATTAAGAAATATAAAGTTGCTTTCGTCCGATATTTAATCGCAATCCTACTCTATAAAAAGATTCAACAAAACGCTAGGAAAGTGGTCTTGGTACTAATGGTATGAATGTCATTTTAACAATAATTAATGTTATCAACCCTATAGTGCATACACATCAATGGAAGGGAATGAAAGAAATGAAGAAGCAGTTGAAGTAAACGTAGATCTCCAAGGACAAGGTTACATTGAAAACATACAAGGCAATGATCAGAGATTAAAAAATAATGATTGCAAAGAGCAAGTTGAAGAGGAAGTCCAAGAAGAGTCTCTTCATTCAGAGATTCATTTGCATTCAATCCCCAACATGCATGTTCATATTCTCCAAGAATCTCCCCACATCAGCAATTCTGAAGAACTCAACTCTAATGATCTAGAAAATCAGTCTGCTGTATGTGTAGTTAATGATGCAACATGTACTCCTACTGTTTTGCTATCGGAAACTATTTCAATGAGCTCAGCAARCATTAATGTCATCCCTCACACTGTAGTTCTCACAACTCCTGGCTTGTCGAGCTTGTGCTCTACTCAAGCTGGTACRATGGAGGAAATTGATGATGAAGAACAGCATGAACGTTTGCTTATTTCAAAGAGTGAGACAGAAGAACTTTTGATTTCAAAGACGGAAACAACTCAGGACCTTGATGATTCATGCATTGGGGTGAGTAGTAGTGTGAACGTAGCTATTAACAGTGTTTTGAGTCACATCTACCTGTAAGGAATCATTCTCCTTTAATCTCTGGTTCAATTTTCTAGTTTGACATCATTCACAATATGTGAGAAGAGTTTGTTACGTTTTTTCCCTTGATCTGAGGATTTCTCTCCGGGTTTTCTGGTTTTCCTCCCTCTGCAAAACCTGACATGCTAAATTGTAATCCAATCTGTGACAGGGTAGCCATGCCCTAATGTTGATTGGCCCAGAGGTTGTTTCAGGGTTGAATTTGTGAAGCTATGTATGCCCACTACCAGACTTAGATCAGCCCAGAGGTTGTTGCAAGAAGGTTCAATTTGCCAGATAGCCATTCCCTAACTTTGATCAGTGCAAAGGTTGTTTCGGAGGCCTCGCACATATACCAATTGTGATTCTCACAAGACTGAAAATTGCTCTTCTGAGAGTTATTGGGAAAGCATGTCCCCAGATATACTTGTCTACCAAAAACTCCTTAACTTAAAATTGACCTGGATCCTGTTTTGTTGATGAATGTAACATGTTTTCAACAGCTTACAGCCTCTGTTACTGGAATAACAAACAGTGTTCACGATAAGCTCAACACAACCTCAGCAGTAGAAGGAATTGTGGTCACAGCACATCAAACTAGCATGTGTTACCTGCGACAAATTTTTGACCATRATCAAGTGACATCTCAAGGCCAAATGCCAACTCTAGCTCATGGGGTAACCTCCCATGACCTTCCGGAACTACAGCAATGCAAGTGGCAAGGTTGCTGTCAACATTTCTTGTCTCTAGAAGACCTAGTTCACCATGTTAATGAATATCACATAAGAACAGATAAGCATGCCGAGTTCTGTTGCCATTGGCATGGCTGCAGTCGCAACGGCAAGGGATTTAATGCCAGATATAAAATGCTAATTCATATGCGTACTCATACTGGAGAAAAACCGCATAAATGCCATCATGAAGACTGTGGCAAGTCATTTTCTAGACTAGAAAACTTGAAGATTCACCAGCGATCACATACTGGAGAAAGGCCTTATATCTGTCCCATTGAAGGATGCGACAAAAGATACTCTAATTCTAGCGATCGTTTTAAGCATACGAGAACTCATTATGAAAGAAAACCTTATCACTGTAGAATTGAAGGGTGTGAAAAATGCTACACTGATCCTAGTTCTCTGAGGAAACATCTAAAAACACACCATGGACAAGATGTAAATATTGAAGAACATGACTAAAAAATTTAGCCGTTCTCAATAAGCCTTTTCATAGTTTAAGAATCGACTCCACTGCGCATGCAATTTTATCCCGAATTTCTCAACTTCTTTTGTCTAAACCTTTTGTTCTTAATTAAACAAAAGGTGAGAAATTCGGGAAAAAATCGCATGCGCAGTGGAATCGATTCTTAAACTATGAAAAGGCTTATAGCATACATACAAGATCATGCAAATTACTGTTGGTGCAAATGACATTGCCAGTGAACACAAAGATTTCAGGGGCATGTGCCAGCTATGAAATGTCATGCAAACGCCAATGATTTACAGTGATTTTGCACGTACATTATGTAATGTTGAGAATGACTAAATTGGCCTTCCTTAATTGTTTTATCTCTTGAAAACTTTTTATCAATAGTTAGGTTTTCTTTAGGCATATTTACTAGGGGGAGGGGTGCCTGCGAAGTATGAGAAACACAGAAAAAGTGTTCAGCTTATATTGTCCAAGTATTTTATGAAATGACTGTTTTAAATTAATATACCAATTAGAAAAAAAATTTAAAATCTGTTATAGAAAAATTATGCTGTTTCATGTCGCTTTTAAAATAATATACTATACCTCACTATAATTTTATGAACCAACTTGCAGAATTCAATCCTAACCCTATGGGCTAGGACGGTATGATTTTCGCCTACAACTATCTTATACAACAYGCTCACACCATCCTACAACTCGAGTCGTAGCGTGTAAATCAAGCCTACTACTCGCCTATGACAGATGYGAGCATGTTGTATACGACAGTTGTAGGCAAAAATCGTACCCTCTAAACCGGCCTTTAGAGTGCATACCATATATCTGTGAAAAACTTTGTAAGAAATTGCACAAATTAATAAGTAATATATACAGTATGAGTGGCTGTGTTTTATAAGATATACAACCAYGAGGYGTAGCYGAGTGATTGTATATCTGATACAACACGGACACGAATACTGTATATGACTTATCAAACRTCTAGGTTAGTTACTTTGTGTTTCACTAAAGTGAATTTGGCCAAGAAAATCCAACTTAAAGTTTATGCAAATGAACACAGTTTTGTATCAGATTTACAACACTCTTCATGACTGGATTTCTGTTGTGTTTTCCTCATGAATTATTAATGAGTTTGATAAGTTCAGTAAACCTATAAAACTKAACACCAATTTGTACAATTTTGTTATTTAACTTTTTCACGGATATATACATAGTCTACATTCTACTATGCACAGCACTACCCAATTGCATGAGTATGAAATTGTACAATTTTCTGTCGTGACAAAATAGAATTTTGGCAGATGTCYGGCATGTCCATAAAGAACAGAAATAGTAAATTATGAATATCTATAGGAAAACAATTTTGGAGTATACTTTTCTTATCATAATTTACACAGCAGCAAATAAAGACTTGAATCTTGGAGTGCAAATGAGTGTGACCRATATTGGCCTGTGCATAGCCTATTTAACAATTATTAAACCACTTGTGCTCATGATCTACAAGTCAATAGTCCATTCAGCCGTTGGCCTCGTGGGCTTTTGACTCCTAGACAATGAGGTCATATGCATATTAAGGCGCTATTAGCAGCCGTGCAGCTTACAATCATGAGTGATTTGTTAGTACGTTAGTTTTATGCCTCCAAATTGGGATAGGATGTTGAACCGAGAGACAATCCCCTACTCTTACGCAAATAATTCAACAGCTTCTGTTACGTTCCCCATTTTACTGGAAGCTAGGAATGGTTGGGAGAGGGGCCTATGGTTTAAAGTCTTTATCTGAGAAGACTTGAAGGTCTTGCCATTTGCAGATATCATAACAAAGGCAGTACCCTTCTCCTCAGTTATTATAAGGCCCTCAGTGTTGGTCCGGCTGAGGCTTGAACCACTTCCTCCCACACAACAGACCGATGCTCTTACCAACTGAGCTAATGAGGGGGGGGGGTCAATGCCTGCATTAAAATGTTGAGCATTTCTCATGATTTTGCTACATGTATATAATATTTTATTAGATATTATATAACTGTATTTATCAACACAATGTAGTATACCATTTTTACAATAATCTACACAAATATTCTTTAGTTTCATTAAAGATACAATAAAATTAAGCTTTTCAATCTCATGATAAATACTTGAAAATAAACCTATACATATATATTAAAAACTTTGGTAAATTGTGCTCATAATTCTTGTTGACTTTAAATGAATTTTTAAACTTTTGTTACAAGAGGTTGAAATCATAACAAAGAGGAAGACAAAAGAAGGAAGAACTCGACTGAAGGTGGAATNAAAGCATGTCCCCAGATATACTTGTCTACCAAAAACTCCTTAACTTAAAATTGACCTGGATCCTGTTTTGTTGATGAATGTAACATGTTTTCAACAGCTTACAGCCTCTGTTACTGGAATAACAAACAGTGTTCACGATAAGCTCAACACAACCTCAGCAGTAGAAGGAATTGTGGTCACAGCACATCAAACTAGCATGTGTTACCTGCGACAAATTTTTGACCATRATCAAGTGACATCTCAAGGCCAAATGCCAACTCTAGCTCATGGGGTAACCTCCCATGACCTTCCGGAACTACAGCAATGCAAGTGGCAAGGTTGCTGTCAACATTTCTTGTCTCTAGAAGACCTAGTTCACCATGTTAATGAATATCACATAAGAACAGATAAGCATGCCGAGTTCTGTTGCCATTGGCATGGCTGCAGTCGCAACGGCAAGGGATTTAATGCCAGATATAAAATGCTAATTCATATGCGTACTCATACTGGAGAAAAACCGCATAAATGCCATCATGAAGACTGTGGCAAGTCATTTTCTAGACTAGAAAACTTGAAGATTCACCAGCGATCACATACTGGAGAAAGGCCTTATATCTGTCCCATTGAAGGATGCGACAAAAGATACTCTAATTCTAGCGATCGTTTTAAGCATACGAGAACTCATTATGAAAGAAAACCTTATCACTGTAGAATTGAAGGGTGTGAAAAATGCTACACTGATCCTAGTTCTCTGAGGAAACATCTAAAAACACACCATGGACAAGATGTAAATATTGAAGAACATGACTAAAAAATTTAGCCGTTCTCAATAAGCCTTTTCATAGTTTAAGAATCGACTCCACTGCGCATGCAATTTTATCCCGAATTTCTCAACTTCTTTTGTCTAAACCTTTTGTTCTTAATTAAACAAAAGGTGAGAAATTCGGGAAAAAATCGCATGCGCAGTGGAATCGATTCTTAAACTATGAAAAGGCTTATAGCATACATACAAGATCATGCAAATTACTGTTGGTGCAAATGACATTGCCAGTGAACACAAAGATTTCAGGGGCATGTGCCAGCTATGAAATGTCATGCAAACGCCAATGATTTACAGTGATTTTGCACGTACATTATGTAATGTTGAGAATGACTAAATTGGCCTTCCTTAATTGTTTTATCTCTTGAAAACTTTTTATCAATAGTTAGGTTTTCTTTAGGCATATTTACTAGGGGGAGGGGTGCCTGCGAAGTATGAGAAACACAGAAAAAGTGTTCAGCTTATATTGTCCAAGTATTTYATGAAATGACTGTTTTAAATTAATATACCAATTAGAAAAAAAATTTTAAATCTGTTATAGAAAAATTATGCTGTTTCATGTCGCTTTTAAAATAATATACTATACCTCACTATAATTTTATGAACCAACTTGCAGAATTCAATCCTAACCCTATGGGCTAGGACGGTATGATTTTCGCCTACAACTATCTTATACAACAYGCTCACACCATCCTACAACTCGAGTCGTAGCGTGTAAATCAAGCCTACTACTCGCCTATGACAGATGYGAGCATGTTGTATACGACAGTTGTAGGCAAAAATCGTACCCTCTAAACCGGCCTTTAGAGTGCATACCATATATCTGTGAAAAACTTTGTAAGAAATTGCACAAATTAATAAGTAATATATACAGTATGAGTGGCTGTGTTTTATAAGATATACAACCAYGAGGYGTAGCYGAGTGATTGTATATCTGATACAACACGGACACGAATACTGTATATGACTTATCAAACRTCTAGGTTAGTTACTTTGTGTTTCACTAAAGTGAATTTGGCCAAGAAAATCCAACTTAAAGTTTATGCAAATGAACACAGTTTTGTATCAGATTTACAACACTCTTCATGACTGGATTTCTGTTGTGTTTTCCTCATGAATTATTAATGAGTTTGATAAGTTCAGTAAACCTATAAAACTKAACACCAATTTGTACAATTTTGTTATTTAACTTTTTCACGGATATATACATAGTCTACATTCTACTATGCACAGCACTACCCAATTGCATGAGTATGAAATTGTACAATTTTCTGTCGTGACAAAATAGAATTTTGGCAGATGTCCGGCATGTCCATAAAGAACAGAAATAGTAAATTATGAATATCTATAGGAAAACAATTTTGGAGTATACTTTTCTTATCATAATTTACACRGCAGCAAATAAAGACTTGAATCTTGGAGTGCAAATGAGTGTGACCGATATTGGCCTGTGCATAGCCTATTTAACAATTATTAAACCACTTGTGCTCATGATCTACAAGTCAATAGTCCATTCAGCCGTTGGCCTCGTGGGCTTTTGACTCCTAGACAATGAGGTCATATGCATATTAAGGCGCTATTAGCAGCCGTGCAGCTTACAATCATGAGTGATTTGTTAGTACGTTAGTTTTATGCCTCCAAATTGGGATAGGATGTTGAACCGAGAGACAATCCCCTACTCTTACGCAAATAATTCAACAGCTTCTGTTACGTTCCCCATTTTACTGSAAGCTAGGAATGGTTGGGAGAGGGGCCTATGGTTTAAAGTCTTTATCTGAGAAGACTTGAAGGTCTTGCCATTTGCAGATATCATAACAAAGGCAGTACCCTTCTCCTCAGTTATTATAAGGCCCTCAGTGTTGGTCCGGCTGAGGCTTGAACCACTTCCTCCCACACAACAGACCGATGCTCTTACCAACTGAGCTAATGAGGGGGGGGGGTCAATGCCTGCATTAAAATGTTGAGCATTYCTCATGATTTTGCTACATGTATATAATATTTTATTAGATATTATATAACTGTATTTATCAACACAATGTAGTATACCATTTTTACAATAATCTACACAAATATTCTTTAGTTTCATTAAAGATACAATAAAATTAAGCTTTTCAATCTCATGATAAATACTTGAAAATAAACCTATACATATATATTAAAAACTTTGGTAAATTGTGCTCATAATTCTTGTTGACTTTAAATGAATTTTTAAACTTTTGTTACAAGAGGTTGAAATCATAACAAAGAGGAAGACAAAAGAAGGAAGAACTCGACTGAAGGTGGAATYATATTAAAGTGCAAATGAACCCTTTGATAATACATTCAGTATTGGTTCTACATAAAGTAAATAGTTGATTGGTAAAATATTTCTTGATTTGAGTGATGTGCCTCTAAGTTATGAAGGTTTATACTTCCAATATGTTGATGATGATGACGTCAGGTAAGGTATTCGAGTGTTTTTGTCATAACTAGTAATACTAAATGCTGGCCATTTTGGAAATAAAACTTTTTAATAGCTTTTATGTAAACCATGCGTAAAATAATGATGCTTTTTAAATACTGTTTCTATGAACCAGTTCGAATTTGTATATTTAATTAAGCCTTAATAGACGTCACACTCATTAGCATATTGGAAGTATAAACCTTTATAACTTAGAAACGCATCACTCAAATCAAGAAATATTTTACCATTTAACTATTTACTTCAYGTAGAATCAGTACTGAAAGTATTGTCGAAGGGTTCATGTGCACTTTAAAATTAATTTTTAGTTACAAGAAAGAATATAATAAAAAAGGACAAGAGAGCAACTAAATTTACACTGAACCACCACTGTTTCTAAATCTGAGATAATCAAGAGAAAATATATATAACAAGAACAGTAAGGTTGAATTTGACATATTTACAATATATTCCTTTAATGTGTAGTTCCAGAAATCATCCATACCCACCCCACATAGGAATTTGGAATTTCCAAAGAATAGGGGGGTCAGAGAAAGAACAAAAATTACAAAGTTTGTATGGAAGAAAATTGGAATTTCTGGGTGATAGGGGGGTGTCTTGAAAAACATTTCTCTSTGAGGGGGGTATGGATAATTTTTGGAACTACACAATGTTATTTTTCCTAGGCTGGCAATTTTCGCAGGCCAGTAAAAGATTTTTAGTTTACTGCTTGTAAATATGAAGTATATTCTTTGTTTCTTGTGTCATCACTGCAAAACAACTTCATGCCTTGACTCTCTTSAAATTGTATACTGCTGCTGACATGGCAGCTGTTGTTCAGCCATACTTCATCTTAAACTGAAGATGATTAGCTGCATGATAGCAACTCTTATGTATGCTATCCTATGTAATTCATGGCTTGTTATCACACCTTGGACCTGTCAGGTGGATTGGTGATACTGTTTTAGTATCCATCTGAATGTGTTCCACATGTGATCACCATACTTAATACCACATCCAGTAGCGTCACTGTGAATGGCTAGTTACATAACTACTGTAGTTGGTCTGTGTTTCATCCACTTTCTACACAGACTTGGCATTGGTGGTGAACAACCCCCATGGCATGACAATAGTGATGACAATAATAAGACTGCTCCATCTTGAGGTATTTTCAAATGGAGTGGAATATTGGACAAAATACTGTTATGGAGTATTTACAATAACATATGAAAACTTCAAAGATACATTCATTGTATTTTTCCGAGTTCCACAGTTGGATATCATTCCTCATTATTTTACACCACAGACTCTGTAATAAAATAAAAGCAGCATGACAACAGCAACCTCTTGATATACGTGCTTYCCATCCTATTATGAGAGTATTTTCTTATGGGATAAGTGTATCGTTGAATGGTTTACACTTAAGTGCGATTCTGGCAACAGTAATAAAAGTGAGACCTCTGATAAGCATGTTTTTTCAAATATGTTTCCATGAGATTTAAATTATGGCTATCTGCACAGTTTGTTAATGTAGACTTCAATCCATCATCTTCTATACTGTGCACCATGAGGATGGACAGTCATAGGAGGTGCAGTTGGTCGAGGATGAGATAACGGCTGACTCTGAGGTAACTGTGCCACCTGTGTTACAGGACCCCGCTGTCCTAACACATGCTGCTGCTGTCTCTGCTGCTGAGACAGATAACTCATCATTGGTTGATAGCTAGGAGCAGCAGGCGCTGGACGAGGYTGTGCATGTACTGGGTAAACTGGATGATTTGCTCCTACATGTTGTAGAAGTTGATGCCGTAGTTGGTCAGTGCGTGCCTGCTGCAAAGGGTTTTGATTTTGTGCTGTCATGAACCGCTGTTGTTGCTCTTGCTGCAATCGTGCAACATCAGCCTGGTATCTGGACATCCTTTCAGAAAGCTGCTGTTGCTGTAGCTGTTGCATTTCCCGGAGCAAGACATTGTTGTACTGTGTATTTTGGGGGATGGCTTGCCTTTGTTGCTGTAGTTGCTGTTGGGCATATGCTGCCTGTAAAGCTTTGATTCCTAAAAMAAGATGAGAGATTCAGCTGTAGGAGTATCTTTTCTTAAGCTTCATCACGCATGAAACAATCAGAGTTGGAAGCAAATTGTGAGTGGAATCGCAAGTGCAAACTCTYGTAATAAGCATAAATCATGGAAAGAAATTTTGTAATCATTCCAATGTACTCTGATTCCATCACAAGTTAAAACCAGGCAAGGTTAAAGGATAATAATATATTCCATTTAACATTGATTGATTGATTTGATAACCAATAAATCAAGCAATGTTAAAACCTAATACAGTCATTTTATGCACTCCATTGTTTCCAACTGATTGGAATGAGAATCTACATGCTAACACTGATAAAATAGATGGAGCTGCCAATTGATGTTTTTGATAAGCAGTAGTTAAAAAATAAGCTAATTCCAATCAACAGCAATGAAGTTCACATAATATYGAAAAACCATGGCATGACCGCAACATCTCCATCGTATCTCAGATAGGAAAAAACCCTTAAAAAATCATTGCTTGTACATACTTTCTTGGTTCTTTGCTTGGTCCTTTTGAGCTTCATATGCAGACCAGGCCATTTGACGTTCCTCTTCCGTCAACTCTTCTCCTTCCACGTTTTGTAACAGTGAGTCATGTTCGTGGTATTTAACAATCCATTTAGGGTGCATTCGGTTGATAATATCTGCTAAAACTGCATCCTGAAACAAAAAAGCAACCAACTGGTTTAYATCCAGTAAGCATGTCCTTACGATTCAAAGGCCCATCCACACTAATGCATTTTCGTTTGAAAACACACATTTTCAATGCGCGTTAGCCTTGCATCCACACTCAACTTCATCCAAAATGCATACATTTACAGGGGCGGATCCAGGATTTTTTCAAAGGGGGGGTTGTAGCATTGATTGAGGTACTTGTTTGGCAGGAAAGTAGCACAGGGTTCCCAAACGGAAGTAGTCTTATGATAATGATTATTTGCTACAGTCGAGCATGGTCGTTTCAGGTCCCACACACAGCGTATAGAAAAAAAAAGCGAGCGAAATGTGTTCGGCACCACTGTTTTAATAAAACTTGTGATGCTTTTGGTGTTGTCATGRAAAAATAAATAAATAAATCATGATGGCTCTCATAGGGGGGGTTGCAACCCCCAAAACCCACCCCTAGATCCGCTACTGATTTAAAACACTCKTCATACATTTAAAACACAAAATGAAGGCCTATTGTTTTGGCGCAGGGAACTSTGAAGGGGTCTATCGGTTAGAAATGGATAGATGGAATGGATGTTTGGATAAATGGATGGATGGCTAGATGGTAGGACAGATCAGCAAAAAGTAGGATTGAAGGATGCATGAAAGAAAAACGAAGTAGAAACCTTTGGGAGAGGAAGTTTAGGCAAGTTATCGTTGTCCTTTTCTTCATCATACACTTCAGGGTTGAAGTTGTACAACTCGGCAAGATCTGCAGCAGTAAAGTGTCTTTCAATCTGGTGYTTGTCAATGACACGTTCTGAGATTGATAACTTTGCAATTTGTCGTTCATATATTTTCTCTTCCATTGTGCCCTGAAAAATAGTAGAAAAGTGAGGCAAAGGCATAAGATGTATGTATTACCAGGTCTAATTCCAAAAACAATTATAAATTATAAGTTTAGTGTGTCGCAAATTTATCACTGAATAAGTGTTACCTTAGCTCACCTCACATCTCTGGAGTTCCACGTTCGATCCCTGGACCCAGCATCAGAGTTCATTAAGTCTCACCCTAATTTGTGCTTGGTTTCTTTTGTTGTTTTTTTTTGGGGGGGTGGGGGGTGGTATGGGTGGCATAGTGGTTTTACGCTCACCTCTCACCACTGTGGCCCCGTTCAAACTCGGGCCCAGACTGGATAATATGTGAGTTGAGTTTGTTTGATGTGTTGTTCTCTCCCCTCCCCTCCCTCCATAAAAAATAAACTTGTGAGTTGTGTTGTCAAGAGAGTAYGCTCTCTTGGTTTTGTAAAATGTAGTGGTACTGCGTATGGAGGGAACCTAATTGARGAGCCAAGTAKKGGGAGTRGTGGTTGTAAAATAYAAKTTTTKTTTTGTTCCTCTACAAAAATTAACAAGCTAACMTAACARACATCAGTGCAGAGGTTGTTTCASG